AAATGCCGCTAGGGATGGGACATCCACAACTTCTCTGAGCAACTTGATCCAGTGGCTCATAACATTCTGAGTAAATAATTTCTTTACAATATCTGACCTTAATCTCCCTTCTTTTAATTTAAAGCCATTCTCCTTGTCCTATCACTATCAGACCATCTAAAATGTTGTTCTCCCTCCTGTTTATAAACTCTGTTTAGGTATTGAAAGGTCTTCTCTTCTTCAGTCTGAACAAGTTCAGTTCCCTCAACCTTTGTTTGTGGTAGTGATGCTCCATCCCAACACTCCATGTCTTTGTGTTGGGGACCCCAGGCCTGGATGCAATACGTCACATGGGACCTCATGAGGGCAGAGTACAGGGGAACAATCACCTCCCTCTCCCTGCTGGTGACATCTCTTTTGACACAGTCCAGGATACAGTTGGCTGTCCAGGCTGCAAGCGCACACACTACTGGCTCATGTCAAGCTTTTAGTTCCCTAGAACCTTTAAGTCCTTCTCTCCAGGACTACTCTTAATGAGTTCTTCTCTCAGTCTGCTCTCATGTCTTGGATTGCCCTGACTCAAGTACAGTACCTTGAATTTGGACTTGCTGAGTCACATTCAGCTTACAGGGACCCATTTCTCAAACTTGTCTAGATGCCTTTTGATGACTTCCCTTCCTTCTATTATATCAACGGCACTATTCAGCTTAGCGTCATCTGCAGGCTGCTGAGTGGTTGTTCTTTTTCTTCTACTCATTCAACATGCAGTTCTCAGAGAATCATAGAATGACTGGTGTTGGAAAGTGCCTGTGGAGATCATTTCATTCAACTTCCCTGCTCAAAGCAGGGTCAACCAACGTGTGTTGCTCATGACCATATCCATTTGTTTTTTGAGTATCTCCAAGAACACAGAATCCACAATCTCACTTGGCAACTTGTTCACTTGTTTGACATATCTCACAGTAAATTTTATTAAGTGGGATTTTCTTTATTTCATTTTGTGTCCTTTGCCTCTTGTCATTTCACTTGGTACATCAGAGATGAGTTTTTACTTATCTTCTTTAATTTCCCCATCAGGTGTTTAAACATACTGGCAAGAACATCCTGAACATTCTCCTCTCCAGGCTGAAAAACCCCCCAATTCTTTCAGCCTTTTATTGTGTGACTGGTACTCCAGTTCCTTAATGATGTCATGCTCCTTCACTAGACTTGTTCCATTTGTTCCACATCTCTTTTGTCCAGGTGGGCCCAGATCTGAATCCATCACTCCAAAAGTAGTCTTAACAGACTGAGCAGAGCGGAAGGATTACCTCCCTTGACCTGCTGGCAACACTCTTACACATGCAGAGCATGATGTTTTTGGCTGCCTTTGCCTCAAGAGAGCACTGCTGAATCACGTTCAACTTGTTGTCCACCAGGATACTCAGCCAGGTATTTTTCTGAAAATCTGCTCTATAGAGAGATGGCCTTCCATATGCACTGGTGCATAGGGTTACTCTACTTGAAATGCTGGATTCCACGTCACAAATTCATAAAGTTCCTGTTCATTCACTTCTCCAGACTGTTGAGATCCTTCTGGATGGCAACACAACCCTCCACCATATCAGCTATTACTCCAGCTTCGTGCCATTTATGCACCTGCTGAATGCACTGTCTCATAAACCAGGTCATTAATGAAAAGATTAAACAGTACTGCATCCATTATTGGCCCCTGTGGTACTCCACTAATGACTAGCCTCTGGCTGCACTTCAGGCTGCTCATCATAAGCCTTTCAGCTCTCCATTTCAGACACTTTTCAGTACAACTCACTGCTCATTTATCTATGAGATACTTCCACATGTCTTGTTCTTGTGTGAATTTATCTCAATCTTCCTTAATTTTTACCAAGTGAGTGTGTTACTTGGCAAGCTCACTTAATCACCTGTTGCCCATTTTATGTGTGCTATCATTACAATGACTTTTAGTTGACATAACATAAACGACTCCTTAAAATAGCTTAACCTTACCTTCTTCCACTCTCAACAACCATTCATTAAGATATTTCTTTCCTCTAAATTAGTCTTTCATCAGTTATAAAACTGTGCTCTTACTCTGCATTTTCCTATTTCTATTACTCCTGTCAAAGACTTGATCAAATTCTTTAATAGAGCCAAGTAAATTGTATCCCCTCCTTCTTTTGAACTGTATTTTAAAAACCTTTTCAAAGAATTCTAACAAGTTAATGAGACATGTCTAGTTCTAAGTGAAACCATATTTTTAAATCTATTGCCAACAACTTTTAGTCCTTTCCCTCACTCCAAACACAGTTAGTAGACACTTGAGTGTAAAATACAGTATTGTTTTACCATCTTTCTTGTCCCTTAATGCCACAAGGAGATTTCAGGAAGTACTTTTACTGAAACAATCAAAGAAATAACATCTTTGGTGTGCTCTGAACATCAAAATCCCAGTTTTCATTCACTACACGCTGCTGTTGAAGAATAATGCATATCAAAGAAAATAAAAGATTGTCCCATTCTTCTAGTAGTGAACTCTGGCAGCATCAATGCAAACACAAAAATCGCTGTTCATTACACCAACATTACTTCCATAGAAGAAAGTGGTAGAAGTTACACCAATTTCACAGAAGACATTTGAGCAATGTAGAGTGCATTTGACTCAGTAAGTCCTACAAAGAAAGCAAAATTCTTAGGGAGAGTTCAGAAAAAAATGTAAGAAACATATGGATATCATAAATTTGAGGCTAGAAATATAGTGTTGATTTTAAATCTGCTTCATATAAAATAAGCACAGCTACCAGTAGGTTATTGAAAAGGTTTCTGTCACTGAAGTGTGGTGTTAACAATTATTTCAGCAGAACACCTCTTATTTTTGAGGCAGAACAATCTTTCTGGGCTTTTCAGATTCTGCAATGCTCTTGGTTAGGGAAATTGTTTCAGAAAGCTATAAATGACTTCCAGTACATCAGACAAATTTGAAGATTTCCCCTCTGACAGCCAAAGCACATTTTGGTCATAGTACTCTATCTGTTTTTCAACCCCAAGTCTTATTTATGCCAAGCCTTGTGGATGGAACCAAAAATGAATGTCACAAAAGGATGTAGATATGTAATAGGTAGTGCTCACAAGTTCAGGCCTTCATGCTGTATGCAAAAAATAAGTTACTTCTTCAATCATATATCCAATTACTGCTTTTACAATGGATTTGGAAGACTGTGCCAGTGTTATAATTTTCAAATATATATAAGAAAATGGCAAAGAATTAGGCATAAAGAAAGTTTATCTGCCATTTAGTCTGCCTTTCAGTCTGTCTGCCATCCATTTCCTCCTCTATACTCTTTTTTCTATTTTTCACTACTGAATTGTTATCCAAGCTGACAATACAGATCTACTTATCTTCCTTATCCCCACTTTGATAGCAAGAAAGGCAATGCAAGGGAAAGAAGACGACTTATGTTTTTCTAGTAAGTAGCACCTTGAATGCAGAATTCTAAGCAGGATTTCTTAGGAAAAAAAAAAAAAAAAAAGTTATTTCATCCTCATTATCCATTCAGTTATCTTTTAGTTATAAGCATCCTTAGCACAGTAAGTGCAATACCACTCACTAGACCATGTGAAATAAGTAGTGCAGAAAGCTACATTTCAGCTTAATGCCATTGAGGTTTATTTCGGCAAATAATAATATTTGGATTGTCTCCCAGTGACTGCTCCTTTTTGTATGTTGCAATGTGGCTTTTAAATCTTATTTAAAACTAACACTTATTATTCACCTTCTTATCATAAGGCCCAAACTATATTTCATTTCATGCTGCACTGAAATAACAAATATACTGTTAAGCACAGAGAGGTGCAGTGGTTACCACTTGTGAATAGTTGATCATAAAACTCTAGATTTTATTGTTTAATACAGAAATTTATTTACTTGAAAGCGTCAACTTAGTTGAAACAGCAATTATAAACAAAAACAAATTGTTGTCCTTATAAAATATATAGGTGCTATTAATTCTGTAACATATGCTAGAAGTACAGTGGCAGAACAGATTCCATTTAAACCTGGAAATGAAAGAGATGAAAACACAGGGGACTCACTTATGTTAGTGGCACACGTTAGAGGTAACAAAAACGTAGACTGTCATCTGGCAATGATGGCATACACCAAAGAAGAAGAAAAGAAAGGGAAAAATAATAAAAGAAGTTTATAGTTTGGATCAAAATCACTTTCCATTGAAAAACGGTATCCCTGAGAGTACTGAGTAACTGAGTACTGGATTTACTGATACCACACAGGATTTTTTTTTCATTTGCTTGCCTGGTTTTTTTTTTTTTCTCTCTACAACTTTGTGTCAAAGTAAGGACACTGTAATGTAAAAGTTAATCTTTATGTCTTTAAACTGTCCCTGCCTCATGTAAAATATCTCATTTATCTGGAATATTTATTCAGACATTTCCGACTATTTCAATACTTTTTGAGGTAGTGGAAATCCATCACGCTTTGAGGCCTTTTAATGCAGTGAGAAGCCTTTTTTGTCTCTGCCTGTTAAAGGCCAGGAAAGCACACTGACAATCAGCATCTACTAGATACCTGTTGGAAGTAAATTAACATTGGCATAATTCAACAGCATAAATAGTAATTACAAGAAGAAAGGATGAATTTCTCAGACTGTATTATATAATGTTGTCTTCTAAGATAATATAAGTAAGATACACAAATAGGACAAGCTATTCATTTTAGGCCTTTCAGTGTCTGCACTACTGGTAAAAAAAAGTCCTATGACACACAGAAAAACATGATAAACTTTCATAGTGGACTCATACAGGCTTGTGGGGTTTTGTTTGGTTGTTCTGTGGAATAAAGGAAGTTACACACACACAGAAATTTCTCCTTTACTGTTGTTAGTTAAAAAAAAAAAAGTAGCTTTGTTTAAAAAGAACCTAACACTTCGAGACAGTATTCCTTAAAAACCAATTATTATATTTTCCTTTCAATTTTTTTAGTACTATGTGCCACACATATCATTTACCTATCTCAGACGCAGCCACTGTGATGTTGTACCAAGGTGTTTCCTCTCTGTCAAAGATCTTGGCAGTTTTAATGGTTCCAGTATTAGCATCAATGGTGAAATATCTATCTTCTTCTGTGTTATGATCAATGAAATATCTAAGGAGAAATAAAATAGTAAATACATACTCATTGTAAAAAGTATGATCCAAGGTAACAGAAAGCTACATAAGAATATTTCTTTCAGTCTTTCAAAGATCTTGGAGATTTTAGATGTTTTCTAACATCTAAGAAACATCCTAACAAAAATTCTTTATTATGGGGATGGATGCCTGATGCCTGAAATAACGTTGTCTTTCACTCCTTTCATAATATTATTTGATCTTTTGATATGTAATAAGATTTCCACTATGAGTCACAAATACATAGATCGCTAACAGGTGATATTTTAGACAGCAGTGCTCATTTCTGTCAAAAGACACTGAGCATATTTACTTTGATTATAACAATGGAAAGGCAGAAAAGAAAACAGAAAAATATTCTTCTGCTTAAACAGCCTGTTCAGTCCCAGAACCTGTTTTGAAGCATGTCTTTTTGACATGAAGTTGACGACATAGCAACATAAGCCATTTTAAACATGTACATTACAAAGACTAGAAGCAGAAACAGCTGATTCCCAGAGATGCTGTTGACATTAGCCTAGAAGCCAAGAAGCATGCCTCCTTAACTCCCTTGGCTTCTGGGCACTTTGCCTAGCAGAGAAAGTAAAAACCTTTAAGTGGGTAATGGAAGCAGATGGGAACACAAAAGACGAGATTGACAAGACTTTTTTTTTTTCCACAAAGCCTGAATCGCTTACAATAGCTTTTACAAATGAACCAATTACACACCCCGATTAAACCTTCTCTTTTAGACCTGATGAGGAAATAAGGAACAATATAGAGCCTTTTACGTACCATAATTGTTTTCCTTCATAATTTGCCAGCCTTACTTTGCTTTCATTCTGGGATATTTTTAATATATGGAAGATACATATAGATTAAAATGATTTATTTGTCCCATCCAACTGCTCTTATTTCTACTTCACCAAAGGTTTAATTGCCAACTAATAAAAAGAGTGGTGCACATAAAGGCTGCAAAGCTCAAAAAATTAAAAATAACTTCAGTTTTATTACTCTCATAACGTGCTTATTCAGACTATTTACAGAAATGGAAAACAAGCAAGAAACACTTGGATGAATGATACAAAAAAAATAAGATATGTTTTCTGAAAAAGCAGAAGAAATAAAGGACTAGAGGAGGAGGTAGCAATTTGAATGAATCACCTTTACTGTTCAAAGGATAGGAGAGAATGTAAAAGCCAGCTAGGATGTGATGATTTTCCCTATTAGAAAGAAACTGAACCCATCTCTTCCAGCAGTAAGAAAAAATATACATAAGCTTACAACAGGGCAGTTTGGGTTGTGGCATTTAAGATTTGTCTTTTCACGTTTCCTGCGTTTTCAAAAATTAAAAATATGTTCCAGGCACTGGAAATGTGAGCGGACCAAACCAGGCTAGAAAATCTTTCTTTTTTGACTCTTTGCATCCTTCTTCTCACCATCCTGAAGAGTGAAACAGCTCCCGTATGACCATGGGGGTGGTTTGAGCAACAACAAACCTTTATGCTCCTTTGGAATAAAAATTTAACTTACCTTCTCCTATCAAACTAAGTCAGAACCCATGTGATCCATCAATTACCAACACCTGGGAACATCTCATTATAAAATACTTCAGAAGTGCTCAGTGATGAGACTTAAGATGTGAAAGATGGCAACGGAAGTTGCCTCAAGCAGAAAAAAAGACTTAAAAGGTCTCCATATTAGAAGTAAACTGGAAAGATCTTGAGTATGTAGGAGATGGGGGAATCACTTTTAAAGAATTCAAGTCAGGAAGCACTCTTCCAGAAAACATTATTTAATCATTGCGTCCTAAGTTGAATGAAAAAAAAAACCAAAAAACAAAGAAAACACTGATCATGACAAAATAAATGTTACAGATATCCAAGGAAACCTGTATTGCTTTCAAAGAATACTGGAATCCGCTGTGGATTGCAAAGCAAGAAAAAGACCTGCACAGTTATTCTCTTGGTATTATTTTATCTAGAAGAATTGGGCCAAGCTACCCACACACTGGGAGTCAAAATTAACTTTTGAGTTTCAGAACAATTGATTTTACCAGTGTTTCTGCTGGTCTTAGTCTACTAAAAAGAGAGCTGTGCAGAGCTGATCACTGTGAGCAGGATTTGTGGGTTCTCCAAGCAGTTACTTGTAACGGAAATGTTTTGAAAGACTGATCCAATATCAGTGGAAAAGTTTTACTTCCTATGCAGGCAGATAGTTCTACCTTTTCCTAGCTACTAAGAAACTTTGTAGCCAGGGTGCAATCAAACTCAGAAAGTACATACAGCTGCCATGCTTGGCGCAGAGCTGTGTTAAGATTTGAAGTCTATCCAGAAGATGCATGCTTCAATTGGATCAGTGCCTCCAGGCCTTATACTTCATACTTGGCAATGCAGGCAACTTGACAAATTTTTGGACCATGTTAGCTGTGCTATTGTTAAGGGAGAAATAATGAAGTCTAGTTGTGTTGGACAAGATGGACAGCACATGCATATACAGACCTCTTCTACAAGAAGTGGAATCGTGACAGAGGAAGGATAGAAAGAATAACTGTTCACCAAATAATTTTCCTGGAGACCTTAGCAAGACCCTTTACTGTCACAATTCTCTGTCAGGTATGTGATGACAAAATGTAATTCCTCCTCCCTGGCTACAGCCTTGTTCTTGGCTCTAGAGGTCTCCCGAAAATTACATGAATTATTTACAGGAAAACAAAACAAAACAAAATCTTCACTGAGCTATTCTTATGGAATATGTATTCTTAATTAAAATATATATATATATTATACATGAATCTTGCCTCTGCAAACATTTACTACTGTCAACAGCGTTTACTTATTACCAACATCAGACAGAGTGACTACTCTGAGAGTCAGAGTAGTGCTAATATTGTGCTAACAACCATAAAAAGTAGGACTATTTGCAGACATAAGCTTAAAAATAGAAATAATTTCAAACTGGGGTTAATGAGGAAAAAAAAGCAATAGGAATACACTGCTGCTTTTGTGCATGTCTAATTCACAATCATAACAAATTATTACTTTTCCCTCTACGAGGGAAGCAAGAGAACCAAAAAGAACAAGTATCATATACCAAATATGAAGCTTATGTAGAAAGACTGAAGCTCAATTCTGCTATGAATTGTGACACCCTAACACATCATTTTCATAGACACATAACAAAACATTGCCTTAGATTTTGAAATATGAACAGTTTTTTTCTAAATCACTTACTTAAATATATCTATATAAGCTGAAAGCTCAGTATTGGATGAATAATTTAAATTGCACTTTTTATGTCACTCATAGAAATAAAGCAATCCTGAGGTGATTCTCTCAGTAACACTTTCATTTCCAGTGACAACAGAAAAATAAAGAATGATAATAATTTATCCACAGTAGCATTTTCTCTCTACATCCTAACTTTTTCATATAGTTACAGCATATTAAAACATCTAGAGCTCAACAGAATTTTTCTTGATCATGTATAAATGAAACAGTGGCCCTGTTTAAGGCTTTCTTATTATGAAGTTTAGTTCTCTTCCATTTATCCATATTCTTCCTAAATCATGCTCTGTGTATCATGCCTAAAGCAGCCATTTGCACTACTGGGGCTCCCATTCTTCATGAATGTCTGTCTGAAACAAGCTACAAATGACATCCTCAAAGAGCAAAGGAAATATGAATATTAATATAAAGCTCTACACTCAGATACCCCAAAAATGTTTTGTAAGATAGAGCCACTCATTCTTGTCACATATAAAAGAACATTTAGAATAAGTTTCATTGCATTTATAAATCACATAACATTTTAAGGCTTTATAAAATATTAGCCACAAAGTTTTATACATCCTGATTTTGGCTGGGACAGAGTTAATTTCCTTCCTAGTAGCTGGTATGGCGATTATGGGTTTTTCTAGGTTGCAAAGAGCTATAATGCAAGTTTAGAATTTCAAAGTTATGTCGAAAGTGAATTTTCATCATGACTCTGCAAGATGCAGATCAGCAACAGAATATGCTCTATTACACTAAATTACATTTAGAAGCGTTATGAACACAGCAAACCTGTTAGTCACAGTTCCCAAAGAGCGTTTGAAGGAAATTAAATATCAAAACTATAGGCACTGAGAAACTCAACATGTATCATCTTTTTTTTTTTTTTCAGGTAGAATCACTGAATGGAAAGGCATTACCAGCCTTCTCATTCCTACTTCTGATCAACCCCCCAGCTTCTGTGACTTCACATCTTGTTTCTTGGCTTTTAGTGAAGCAGCGGTTCAGTGAGGACAGATATTCCCACTTTTTTTCTTTTAACTTTTTTTTTTAAAATCAAAAGTGCTTGCATGAGTTAGGAAATAAAGAGAAAATTATATGCAAGATAGGCCCTAGGCGCTCTTGACATATAAAGCAGTTTGCATTTTAAAGTAGTTGGGTTTTAATAGCACAGAGAATACTTGAGCATGAAGAAGGTTCTAAAAGATGCTAAAGGTTTCTGAAGATAAAACTTGTAATTATTTTCATAATCTAACTAAATTATTTGGCTTTGAGATAACATTAAAATCAGTTTGGTAATTGATAAGTGCTATAGTCTGTCAAGATCCCAGCATCCACTTCCAGTTTTTATGTTTCATAGTTAAGCCTTGAATTTGAGATTTTAAATCTTGTTTTGAGCTTTTGACTTGTCTTTTTTTGTTGTTGTTTTTTGTCATTAAGCAAGTCTTTAAGACATTCCTTCATTATGCCATTATTATTTATTACTAAATTTAATATGAGCAAACAAGAACTCTTTCAGAAATTACTATCTTGTCAACAAAACTTTTAGTTCTAAACTTCTAAAATCACATTTCAGGCAGGTTCAGATTTACAGTTCATAAAATCTCTTTAAGCTTGTATACAGAGATATATCTAATAGTCAGCTCTCAAATAACAACAAAAACTGGTTACAAAGAACCACTAACAAAAGTTAGTGGGAATACTGGCCAAACTGATCAGTCATGCC